TGGTCGAACCGAGAGCACCAGTGGTCGACCACTGGTGCCTACGCAATTTAGCTCACATCTGGTGGGAACACCGAGTGAGCAATGAGCGTGTTCGACGCCTTATTTACGGCACAGGAAAAGAAAATGAACCGCTCAGCACCGTTATTGCAAGCACCAGGCTCTGATTGCTCGGCTACGTGTTACGCACCACCGACTCCCGCGACGTGTGTTGTTTGCGCGCCGGGTGGATGGAAGAAGAGGGTGGCTAAGCGATGACTTGGTCGAAAGAAATGAAGGTAGTAACTTCGAAGGTGGCCTCGGTTGGAGCGCCTCAGTTCACTGCTTGGGGTCCGAAAGACGATGAACACGTTTGACTGGATATACTTTCTGATATGGCTAGGAGCCAACCTCATTGCGTTCGTGCTGTGAGTTTCTTTCTCCCTCCTCATCCCTTTTAGCTCTCCCCTCCAGACATGATCTCACAACTAAGCCCCATATAATTTTACATAGTGAATTCTTTTGCTGATAGTAGCCGGCTGGTAGCTTACCGGAACGATGCCCATCCGTTACCGGTAGATCGGCTGGCTTACATCTGTTGCAGTTTTCCTTTTTCATGTATTGCGGTACAGTAGCTGAGGAGCTTCCCACCTTTAGCTAACGTGTCTAATGATGATGATGATGATGACTTAGATCATCCTGAACCAGTACGGCCAAATCACGTTCGGTTGCAGCTCACTGCAGACATGCAATCTGAGCCTGTAACAGTGGTTGCTTTGGTGTCGTATTAAGAGCACTTTGCATTTACTCACAATGAATTACAGTGAATTTTGGATGGATGTGACATGGACGATGTGCCATGTCTAGACCACTGGTCACTGGTCACTGACCACTGGTCAGTATTCCCCTGAAGCTTGCTCCAAATGTTGACATCATGGGAAAACAGCAGCTCAATGAACAATGAATGTATACGGGTTAAGAAGCGTTCCTTTACAAGTCACGTTGGATGTTTGGTGGAATATAGAAATAACTATAATAATAATAATAATAATAATAAAACAGTTAGTACCTTAAATAGGAAAGTAAGGACGTATAGCTTGCTTCACCGTAGTCCTGCAATCCACTCAGATTCACAACACAAACAGTTAGGATCAAATAATTCCATGGTAAACTCCAGGTGTAGGATGGAGACGTAGTGCTAAGTGACGAAGTGTAAGTGGATGAGTGGGTCATCCACCCATCTTTTAAATACTGTTAATGTCGCTGCAGAGACAACCGATTCTGGGAGAGAGTTGCACGCGTGACAGACACGAATGGAAAAGAAAGTGCAGTGGCACTCCAAATTATACTGTACAGCGAGTTTCATTGACTGGTCCCTCAGTGTTGCATTGGTGCTGAGCCGCAGTAAAGAGCGGCAGACAGGATATGGATCTCGCAGAATCAAGTATACCATAATCAGGGCGCCTCGTAGTTTGCGACAGATTCTACTGAATACTCCCAATCGTTGCCGTCTCTCTTGGTATGAAAGATTGCGCATTCCACTTACTTGCTTAGATGCCCGACGTTGTGGCTGCTCCCGTGAATTAAGGTCGTGTTTCAGCCATGGATGCCAGGCTTGAATTGCGTATTCGACTAGGGGTGAACATACGCACTGAGCAGTTGTCGAAATATACAGCCGTTTATTTGTCCAAATGCCCGTCGCAACAGCCCGACCAGGTGGTTCCAAGTCATCGAGGCCTTTTCGGATTGTCTGGAGCAACACAAGTCATCTTGAACCCGGACACCCAAGTCACGTTCAGCAATTGATTGTTGCAGTACATTCGCTCCCAGCCGGGATGAGTAGCTGCTTTGATGTTTGATGGAAAGTACCTTGCATTTACTGACACTGAACTGCAGTAAGTGGTGGGTTGCCCATTGATATACCGTAACTAGGTCACTCTGCAACAGATGCTTGATCTGCGTTCATCTGGATCCTGCGGCAAACCTTGACGTCATCGGTAAACAATACAAAGTTTAAAGCGATTCCCTTTGTTCGGTCATTGATAGATACCAAAACCAATCGGGGACCTAGAACTGAGCCTTGAGGCACAGCACATTCAACTAGTATGAGGTCAGAGAAGGAGCTCCGAACCCTGACCACCAATTGCTGCCGAAGGAGATAGTCGGTGATTTAGCTAAGAAGAGGGTCACCGATCCCGTAACACTGCAACTTGGAAAGGAGTACCCGATGATCTAGATGGTCGAATGCTTTCTGAAAATCCACGTAGGCATATCAGTATCCTCTCCGGCGTCAGCTTACTGGGTCCAGCTACTCCGTGCTATTAGCCAATTCGTTGTGCGCCATCGACTTCGACGGAAGCCGTGCTGTTCACAAATAATAAGATTAAAGTTATCCAAATAGCCTACCAGTGCATCGGCTATTATGGATTTCATCACCTAGGAGAGTATAGGGGGAAGAGAAACAGGGCGGTGGGCTTAAACCTTGCTTCTGCTTCCATCTTTGTGAATAGGCGTTATTATTTCAAGCTTTCACATGGCAGGAACTTGGTTCTGATCTAAGCAGCGTCGGAAGAACTGAGGCAGTGCCTCTGCCAGTTGACTTGCTACTGCTTACAGTGCTTCTGGGCGGATAGCATCGACACCCGGGGATTTGTGCTTGCGTAGAGTGGTTAGCTTTTGCAAGACAGCTTCGGTGGTAAAGGATATGGGTGTTAATCCCGACCGCGGCGTAACAAAGGCTAGAGAATCTCCTGATGATAATACCCTCTGGAATGTGTGAGTATATTGCATCCACATCGCTTTTATTGCTTCCGTAGCCGAACATGTTGGGCCATCAGCCGTCATCAATAGGATAACGCCAGCAAATCTGTGTTCTCAATGGAACTAAAAGATGAAAGCACATTCAGAGAATGCCAGCCAACATACACTCGGTTACTGCGTGAACAATGTCAGCAGCCAGCAAAAGTACTCGTTTCTACAGAAAGTCAACACGAGGTGCGGATCCTGGACGGCCGCATCGATCGCCGACATTTGGATCACATAATCCCCGGATCAAGGACAGGCCGAGCGAAGCGAAGTCTGACTCCCATTATATTACAGTGCAAGTGGCAGAGGGCGGGGAAACCGAAACCAGAACGTATCTGAAATGACTGCTTGACTCCTCAAGCCTTACCACCTGTTGTTAGCTCACATACTAACCTCTAATCTGAAAGCAATCCTATCTAGACCGAAGAGGAAGAGGGGAGCACATGAACATCGGAACGTTTTCTAAGGAATACTGGGTAAAAATTGTGATAATGACTATGTGGGCCAAACAGGGAGAAAGTTATCTACAAGGTTACAAGAACATGAGCGAGCGTGTCGAAACCTTTATTCATCATCATTGGTCTCTACACATGTTGACGAAGAAGGGCACATTTTTGATTGAGAGAAGACGGAGGTCCTAATGCAGGGAGACAAAATAGAAGAGAATTTCTCAAAGCATGGTTCTCTAGGGAGAACTTGATCAACCTGCGCATTGACTTAGACCCGACCTACCATCAAATGCGAAAAAAGAACTTCAGGCGGATCATTCACCACATGACTTTAAAAGAGGCGCCAATCGAACTGCAAACCAGCAATGGTCACGGGACCATTGGCCAAGTCCAAACATCACTCTCTCCTCGGTCAAATTTTGCCTATTACGCACTGACGAAGTCATCTCGATGGTAGTGAAAGGTCTGCAATGAAATAGTTCAACTCAAAGAACAAACCTAAAGCTGAACAGACAACCCGAGCTACAGGCATTACGCCTTAAGTGCGACCCTAGTTCGGTGGTCTAACCGAATCCGCAAAATGGTTGGACGTTTCCAACCAGAACTTTGACGTTAGCCATGACGATGAATTGGTGGATAAAACGTAGACAATGTGACAGTCATGCTGTCCAAATCTGGCAGTCATGGCGGCAGCACGAACTCACCAAGCTCCATACCTTACAATGTAAGGTTTAGAGGATTAAGAGGTCGTTCCACCTTCCAGTTAGGCTGAAATTTCTAGTAATGTATGGCGACCGTTGTCGTCGAAACAGTGTGCTGATCATACTTATCCATAGACGCAAATATAATTGAACTATTGGTGTGTCCATCAACAGGTTCCCCAGTTACCGGTGTTGCTTTTTCGTCTATTATTAATACACCGAAGATCAGGTGGTACTTGACAATCATTCGAAGTTTTAATGAACTGTGATCCATCGTTACTCTGAGTAAATTCACCACCTGAAGCAATGTGTACAAGTATAGGTTTTTCAAAGGCAATACTGAGTTGCCATTCTGATGCTTTCCCTTGGTTTCCCCAACTCGGTGTATTACAAATGCACAGCGAACAAGTACTCATGTGTTTTCACTATTTCAAAGTAACCGACTGTGATGGTAGCTTACGTGCCAAACCGCCAGCCAACAGCGCGAACTGGTTTCCACCAATCGGCAACACAATCGGAGATCGCAATCAGTTCGCGGCACCGCCAACCAGTGGCGCACACAAGCTACCTCCTTG